ACGCAAAACTTCGAGACAACACAAACAATGTCTTAACAAAGAACGGAGTCTTAAGGAAGGTTACAAGGAAGGACAACCACCAAACGAGGAGTTTATGAGACTGAGCTGGTTTCTGTGTGTGTCGGACTCTGACGCGTTGGTCGACGTCGCTCGGATGTGTGTGGACTCATGGTGTTGTAGTCGTCCATGTGTGTGTATGTGTGTGTGGCCATGGTGTTGTATCGTCCATTGTGTGTCGATGTGTGTGTGGACCCCCTGTAGGGCGAGTCCAATGCTAGTGTGAATTGATTATTGTGAAGACATGTGGCAAACCATCGCACTCATACGAATAGTCAGATATACAACGCACAAGAAGGTGATCTTCGGGTGATATTGAGGCCTGCATGGGATGAGTAGTCGTCCATGTGTGGTGTGCATGTGTGATAGTCACTCATACATCCATGTCGCCTGGTGCACTGTCAGTGATGTGTTGTTGTTGGACATCACCCCCGACCAAGGCCTTATCCGTGTACAGTGGAGTGCCTGATGTGTGTGTCCATCGAGCCTGAAGAGTAATGTGTAGTCGTACACATAGTGTGTGTCAAAGCTGTGCCTCTGGGAGCTAGATCGATACGAAGTAACACTTAAATATAAAAAAACCTTGGGAACACACACGCTACCGTTCACACATGCAGTAACAGCTTACCCTTCGGAAATCCGGAGTGCACACGTGATTGGTCCTACACTACTCTTACATCAGAGCAAACGCAAAACGCAAAACAACACCACAAAAAAAAGGAACCTCCACTACAAATCCACCCTAAACACGGCGCGATACGTCAAACTTGCGAATCTGGCCTCGCAAACAATCACCAAAGGGCAGGGTGTACAGTCCGACCCTGGTTAAGCACCACCTCCTCCCTCTGACTCACCTTCAGCATGGTGTGCAGCATGTGGACCTTGCGGGCCTGGTGTCGAGCCTGAGACAGAGCGAAGCCCTGAGGGGGTCTCACCCTGGGGACCCGCTGCACCACTCTTTCCACCCGGGGGAACTCCACCAGAACATCCTGGTCCTCTGGACGCAGGCGGTGCACACACACTGCGTAGTAAACCGCCTCACACAGCACCTGAGGGACAGAGGAGCCGTTACGTTAGGCTGGGAATGTCTTTAAAAAGTCAATATACTAAGAAAACCTTAGGTAAAATAATTGTTCACAGGGCCAGGGCAAATGGGAATTAAGTCAAAGAGCTTTTGGGTGTGTGCAGTAAAAAATAACAGCTTTTCAGTAATAAAATAACTGCTTTTTTTTCAGCTCAATGGCAGTGGAGTTCATTGATGAGTGTTGAGGATTATGTCTTGTTTACGTCTGAGAATAAATGTGTGTACCTTGATTGGCTCCAACAGCAGGCAGGAACACAGGAAACTAGCGAAGCAGGAGATGAGCCACATCATGGACACGTTTTGACTGAACCCGTGACCCGCCCAAATTGAAACGATGTTGGCCAGAGCGAGCCCCCCCCAGCTGCCCCACAGAGCGGCCTGTCCACACCAGGGAGGAAACCGCCTGGGTCGACACACGTCCGTCACAACTGGAGAGCAGAAAAACACTTGGTAAAAGGAAGCAGGTCCCCGAGATAAAACAAATCAGATAGAGGATTTAAAGATAGAGACTTCTGAGAGTATTCATATGTTTAATTCACAGAATTTCAATGTTAGGAATTCGGTTAATATGTATGTATTTCACACTTTCACAGCTCCACAAAAGAAACTGAGGACTTGTATTGCTTATTCAACAAGCATTATTACATTACATTACATGTTACTTCTTAAACGCTTTTGTTAGGTGCTGGGTGTGTTTTTCTCTGTCTCTCTGTGCAGGTACACCTGGTCCGCTCCTGGCTCCGCCTTCCCCAGGTGTCCTGATGACATTCAGCTGGGGATGAATTTAAGAGGAGAAGCTGAAGGAGAAGAGGTCTCTTTTCCCGTCTTGAAACCGAGGGATGACGACCGTGGTTTTCCTCTGCTCCTCGTGTGGATATACATATTTATGCTGTATTTTATTGTGTGAACTCTGGAGGATGTTAGCATAGGTTTTTTCGCGGCTTTGTTTTCCTCCCAGTAGGCTGTGCTTGGACCTCTGGGTAGAGGAGGGAAGTCTGGGTCCTACGGCCCATGGTGTGGCTGGCCCAGGCCCCCTTCTTCTTTTTTTTTGTTTTACGCTGTCCTCCAGACTTGGTTCATTTCTGCCGGTAGGCATGCATATGAGTTACGGCTGTGCTACCAATAAATGCCCGTCGTTAACTAAATTCTGTGTTTGGCGTGGTTGTTTTTATGTTGCGGGTCTTCCCACGAGCCACTACCGCTTGGTAGAGGGACGTGACGTAACATATGGGGGCTCGTCCAAAGGCTGTCTCGGGCAGGTAGCGGTTTTCTTACTAGAACGGCCCTTGACAGCATATATATTTTTGCTTGTGTGTGCAGTGTAGGGTGGCTAGAGTGATAGACTAGCTGGTTTTGGTTTTGTTTGTGTGTTTTTTTTTCCTTGGAGTGAGTTTAGGTGGGATTTGTGCGCTATGGAGTTTGAGCTAGAGGGGTTTGTTAGTGGTCCGACTCGGGAGAAGTTGGATGCCTGTAGTGAAGCCCAGCTGGAGCTAATTGCAGGCAGATTTAACGTTGCAATTAGCAAACAACACAAGAAGCAGGTCATCAAGGAACAGCTGTTGGCGGCAATTATAGAGGTAAGGAAGTGTTACCGGAGGAAACGGGCGCTACCTATATATCTAAAGATGAGGAAACCGAGGTAGCTCCGACAATGAGCGAGCTTCAGCTTCAGCTGGAGCTACGCAAATTAATAATTAGAGAGAAGGAGATTGATAACAAGTTAATAGAGAAGGAGATCGACTGCAATCTCGAAATCAGGAAACTAGAGGAGGAGTCGAATCGAATGCTTCGTTTGAAGGAGCTGGAGTTATCGGCAGTGTCGCACCAAACTCAGCAGTTGGGATCCGCACATCCTCATGAGTTTGATGTGGGTAAATACACCCGATTTATTCCAGTGTTCAATGAGAGGGACTAGGGCTGGGCGATTTGTCCTAAAAATAAAATCTCAATTTGTTTTCTAACAACCTTGAAGTGGCCTAGGGATGTTTTCGATTTAAACCTCGATTTTTTTCAGTTTTTTTCTAAACAAACCAGACCAAGGCAAAATTTAAATACATATTTCCTTTATTAACACAATACAAATAAATGAGATTACCAAGTAGTCTAGGCCTATGTGAACAAATCAGTTGTTCAAGAATAAAAAAAATTAAATAAAAACAGCACCACTTGGCTGTCATTAATGTGCAAAGATTTTTTTTTAATCAAACTGAAAAAAAAATCAGTATACAACACTACACGACAAGCCCACTTGACACGACACTACGGTGGCTGAGAGGCACTACCGTTAAAAGCGAATTGACGAGATTTACATCATACAGCCCATGTAGTATAATATTTTACAAATGATGAATTACAGCAAACATGTGCAATATATCCATTATTACAGCTTCGTGGGCTAGCAGTAAGGCGATATGGGTCCGCTTGTTATGTGCATCCATGGGTAAAGAAGAAACTCATGTAGGTACTGAACACGTAACATGAACGGTGCTGGCGCGGCGGTCCCGTGGGTGGATGCGCGTTCATTAGCGGGAGGACCGAGGAAAATAACCCTCAGAAGTAACGTTATTAGCACATTCTTACAACTTGAGGACAAATGTTTTTTAATAATGGCCTTAACAAACGTTTCATGACTTGGGGTAGTTTATTTACGTTTAAAAAAAAATTATCTAACGAGTTACAGAACCACTCTTTCCCAATGTAAGGTCAAGTGAAAAAGTGTTTCTGGGTTGGTGTGTTGTGTCCCATGTCTGTGAGTCCTACAAGCAGAAGATTAGTGTAGAGTTAACTCGCGCGGGTGTTGGCCAACAATCTGGAATTATTTCATAAAATGGTTTGGGAACACAGGAGCGTAACTTCCTGGATATTTTGTTGTCGTCATTGCGAATTGTCGAATTCTCTATCTGTCCTGAGCTTTGGCCTCAGGCTGATCTTCTCTCTCGTTTATGCTTCATCGTATAGTGTCTTGTCAGTGGGGGTGTTCGTTGTCGTTATAGTGTATGTTTTATATCTGTCTGCTGGCCGCGCTTAAGACACTTATTGGTGTCGGGGTCTGGAAAGTGATGTGAGGGTCTATGAGCTTGGTACTTACGGAGTCCCTATGAGTGTTAGTCTATAGACAATATATAAGAATCTGCGGGTGGTGTCTTATGGTGAGTTTAGTCTTTGATATAATGTTTGTTAAATTGTCTGCGGATTTTTCGGGGTTACAGCCATTACCAACAAGACACAAGGATATAAACGAAAGTATTAACTATAAATGTCAATTATATTACGTTTATAAACATCCTATGTATATAAATAAATCGTGACCCAGACCCTAAAATGCACAACATTTTATAGTTGGATTTATATATTTTGTATTCTATAACAATGAAGTTGCATACATACCTTGAAGTTTTAGGACCTCAAGGGAAATTGTGTGGAGACTATGATATAGCTTCATTGTGCAGATATCCTATACGGGTAATGAAGCTCCAGATATTCAGATTGTTTACTTCGCATAGCATCTGTCTGACAGGTCACCGGGATTTTTTCAATTGGCCAGGTGGAAAGCAGCTAATTCCAGACAATTTAAAGTATTCTTAATGGCTCTAACTGTTAAATTAACTAACGTATTAATAAATTTAATTCAGTTTTAATAAATCAATCTGATGAAATTATAACAATTCTATACTCAAAATCTATTGCTGAAAATTTAACTTCTTATCCACAGTTAATTACACTCTTTCACTTATCTCTGTCACAACGTCTCCCTCCATCAATGCACTGGATTTACTCAATCACTGGTTGATTAAATATATTCTCTCACGTGTAGAATAATAAATAATAGGTTTCTCAGGCGTTACTATAAAGATACCAACGAAGTTAAAAGTATTTATATGAAATCGACATAATCAATATTATACATTAATGAACACAAAACCTATATATAAATCACAATAATTCATATAATAATTTATTAATCGAACTGTGTGCATATTGCTACCTAAATTATCCTCGTTGAATATGGAGGGAAATCATGGATAAGAACTTGCTGTTATGTACTGTTCACCATGTTTACCAGTGGTTTGATGTCTTACGCACTTTGTTTATCTATTGTGTTATGTTGTCAGATATCTCGAAATAAACGGAGATTTCATTGGCATATATAGACACTGTCTTCTTCACCTCAGCTTCAAAAGTTAGACAACATAGCTAATTACAACTTTTGGGATCCTGAGAAGAAATCCTGGAAAAAATCTGGAAATCCTGGAAATCCTTTCCGCATTTGCATTTTCCCACAATGCAAGTTCGGCGGAAAAGCGATGTTAGTCAAATATGTAGGACTAGTACACTCTCACCACATTCAATTAAAAAGTAGAAAAATTAATGAGGAGCAGAGGGAAGCGTTAGAAGGAGTTTTTTAAACGCTTGCTGTGTTAGACGGGGCGTAACAGGT